GCGGCCGGGGCGGAGGGCGCCGAGAGGGGGCCGCGGGCCAGAGGCCAGGGCGCTCCGGGAAGGCGGGCGCTCCCCGCCCCCGTTTCTGGGAAGAGGTGGGGAGGGGGGCTTCTCCTGGGAGACTCGGGGCGTAGAAATTCCTCGTTCCGCATCCTCCGGCCCCCGCACCCCTCCTCCTCCCCGCCACGCACAGTCTCCCCTTCCCAGCCATCTGTTCCACTCGGCAGCGCCGCGACAAACACGGCTTCAGCTCGCTTCCGCCCTTGCCAGCCCCTTCCCCAAACTCCCCCGGCGCAGGCACCCCTCCCCCAGGAGGCCGAGATTTCTGCTGCCACCCCTCCACATCCCGTGTCCCCAGCACCAGGTGGGTGGGCGGGAGCAAGAGCCAGGACCCCTCCTGTCCTGGGGGTCCGTGGGGCTGGGGACAACGCTGGGAAGGGTGGGGATCTCAAGGGAAGAGCAGGGCAAGCCTAGGGCAAGGGTTCAGGAGGCCAAGACTCACGAAGGGCAGACTCAGTGAGTGTGTAAGTGCAAGAGAGTTGGGGAGAGGGACCTCACACACTACGCGCCCCGCTATCTCGCCCCCCACGCGTCAGTGCCAGCCGCTGCCACGCAGCGCCGCCTGCTGGCCACGTCCAGTACTCCGTGCACACGCCTGGCTTCCACCGGTTCTCACCCTAAATCTAAATCGCTCTTAGATCCCCATCAACTTAAAAAAAAAAAAGAAAGAAAAAATCTAACTCACTGCCCTGGACCCCTCCTTGGGTTTCCGAGGCGGTGTCACTGCGGAAGTAGATTGCCCCGTTTTCCTTCTGAGGAGTGCCTGGTGGGTTTGAACCTCCAGCCTCCTGGTTAGCAGTCAAATGCCTTAGGCACTACACCACCAGGTTATTCCGAAAACAAGGGCCTGCCACAGGGTACGTAGTGAGACCTCTGGCAAGTGAGACCTCTGGGAAACGGCTGACTCTTGGTGGGTGCTGTCCAATTCTAGTTTCTATTCTGCAGGAAGGGCACTCACTGGTTGGAAGTCAGGAGTTTGGGTTCAGAGAAATGGGGATCTTTTCTGTGACTTTGCCAAACTCCAGACCCCTCTAGATATGTCTTCTCAGCTGTAAAATGGGTGCAGTAAACCAAACCAAATCCACCGCTATCAGTGGATTCCAACTTAGGACCCCTTTAGGGCAGAGTAGACCTCCCTGTAGAGTTTCTAAGGCTATACATTTTTATGGAAGCAGAGTGCCTCCTCTGCCTCCTGGGAGCAGCTGGTGGGTTCCAAGTGCCTAGCTTTTTGGTTAGCAGCCAAATGCTGTCACCACAGTGCCACTAGAGCTCCTTCTTGGGCTATAACCAAAAAAGCCAAACCAAACCCACAGCCATCGAGTGGATTCTGACTCATAGTGACCCCCATTGGGTTTCCTAGGTGGTACATTTTTATGGAAGTAGATCATCCCGTCTTCCTTCTGTGGAGTGGCTGGTGGGTTTGAACCGCCAGCCTTCTGGTTAGCAGTCACATGCCTTAGGCACTGTGCTAAATGAGATACCTGTGTAGACTAGCCAGGGCCTCAAATGTCAGGAACCCCTTCCTACCCTATCAAATCTGTCTCTTACAGTAGCCACTAATATGGCTTGTGCTCCAGGACACCAGTAGCTGGGGGACTCCAGGAAGCCTAGAATAAATAAGGTATGTCTTCCTGGAATGTCCCTTTCCTCAAAGATGTTGTTTTCTCTTGATGTAGGCAATTTTAAAACCTCACTTTAATGTTAAAGG